AACACGAACCTTTCTCGGCACTTTGCCGTGGCTAACGTAGCTGTCCGGGATCAGGATGGAGAACTTTCGTTGACAAGGCTGAAATGATGCGCGAACTTCGAAAGGTTCTCCTTCGTATGAATTTTCAGAACTAACCTTGATACCGTCATTACAGTCGTGGTAAATACTCAGCTTAGGGTCAATCGTGGTGTATTCCTTCGTCCAACCTGCCAACTGGAATTCGCCATTCATGTTCGTCGTTTTCTCATCCATCAGATCATCCATGTCCGCTAAAGCGGTCATTATTGTAGGAACCATGATCTTGTTTCACTGTTCTCACTACTACCATTTCTGCTTTCAAGTTACCGTATGACATTGTAAACGATTAGACCCATGATTCGGTCGTTTTTGCGGGCCCCAATAAATCACGTTGTCTCTATAGCCCTGTCCCACTGTCTCTTGGTATTAGCATGCGTATCTACGCTCATTCTCGCTGCAAACACTAGGGCGTCTCAGAGCTATTCTTGGAGCTGCGCGAGCCCGCTTTCCATCATTTGTTATCGCTTGCTCGCTTCAGCAATTGGTGGAAAGCGAGCCGTCGTCGCGCCAAGCTCAGCCCCGCTCCCCTGACAGACCCCAGCATCGAGTCCAGCTGGTTTCTCATTGACAGCAACGACACTGCCTACGTTCTTTGACGGGTCTTCTGTTATTAGGACTGGGTAGAGTGCTTAGTTGTGGCAGCGGAGCTTTGTTGGGACAAGCGGCGTGAGTGCCCTCACTCTGTCTGCGCCAGCAAAGTGGGGCAAGCGCTGTCACTTTAGATCAGGCTAAGCGTTTACAGAGGAAGAAGGACTTCGCAGCTAATGGTGAGGCCTGCTTCAACCCCCAACCCAGGAGGATGAAGTTCTGAAGCTTCATCTGGTGACTTTCAAGGCCACGCTTTTTTAAGTCTGTCTTTGGCCTCCCATACGAGTCAGAAGATCTCGCTAACTTAGACACGCGAAAGGTAGAGCGAGTTCACGGGTAGTTCTCCGCGTTTTGCAACTGCCATGTCTCCGCTCAGTGATGAAGTATAGTTGATATCAAGTCAATCGGTCGTGGCGGTGACAGGAAGGATGGAATGAGCCCCTCTAGCATTTTAACCACTAGTCGTTTCCTTCCCAAATCCATCACTGCCCGATTTCTAATGGTACAGAGAAAGGCAGCGGGAGGCGGGCTCATCCCCCTCTTCTGACCCCGCCCCGACGATCGCGACGATACCGACTATAAGAAGCAGAGGAAGTCATAATAATATGTAGGCGACTTTTCAATTTTCAATGGAATTTGATGCTCTAATGTTCTCACTCCGATCGACGTCCCACAGTTTGACTTTGACGCCAACAGCTGGCCGTCCGTCGCAGATTAGCCTTCCTCTGACCTGAAATTGACTCAGATACTCCCTCGTCGTATAGTTTCCAATTATATACTCATTCGCTTTTTTTACAGTAATGATGAAAGGGCAGTTGACTTGATCTCTGCCGAATAGGTCCACGGCGTCGCATAGCCAAGGATAGCGCAGACAAGTATACAACGCATATCTGAATGTACAGTAAAAACATACAAGCGTTGGAAAGGCGACGAAATGGTGGCGTTCAGAAACACTCGGACAAGCAAATGATTGCACAAGAAGATTATAAGGGCATCAAATACTTTGGAATGTCATTATAGCTAACAAATTCGCCACACTTATTCTGTAAATTCGCAAAACTCTGAGTACTGTTGTCATTCCAGTATCTGAGAAGCGTATTTCTCCCTAGTGGAACCACGGAGATATCTGTATTTCTCCTACCTGTCATTTTGTTCTGGTGTACTTCTTTCCAGCAGAGCTGTTCACGAGTCAGACCAAGCCGGAAACGTTTTAATTGCGTGTAGCAGAGACATGCGCACCATTTTCTTCCCTTTGTCTCGTTTTGTTCGTCTGTATAAATTGAAAGAATATGCGGTAGATGGATGGCTGAGAAAACCAGCAATTCTTTGTGACGCCGCCTAAAAAAGGCTCTCTATAATTCCTGACCGTTGAGTTAATACTTCAACATGGTGGTGGATTTTTCGGGGAAATTTTGGACAATTTCCAGAAGATCATTCATCCACTTATCTTGCTGTTGTCAGAACGAATGAACCACTCTTGATTGAGGCTGAAATGTGGCTGTGAGGGTGCAAGGTTTTACTGTTATTTATTGCATTCAAAAATCGATTGATCGCAGTGATGTGGATCACTGGTTAGAACTTTTCGGCCTGTGATTCCCGGTGTTCGCATTGCTGGATACGTATTGGCTATCATCCTCGACCTGGCTGAAAATCTCGCCCATATGCATGGTCGCGAGACAAAACACCTCTTGCACCGGCTTTTGGCGAAATTGTAACGGGAGCGACGCTCGTAGCGACGATATAGTTCAGTACTTCTCCTTACTCTCGCAGTGGAAACTGGCCTCCAAAAACCCGCCTTTCCATGAAAAACGGACGAAAATGTATGAAATCAGTTACTTGCAGTCGTGGATGGAATCCATATCGGTTATCAGCGTATGCGGATGAGGGGTGAGTGTTCGACATAGAGTTCATTGCGGCAACGAACAAACCTGGGACGCGAATGCGGCTTCTCTAGGGCAGGCGGATGTTTTTGCTTTTTTTGTGCTCTGCATGCAGACCCTTCACCCACTATGCTGTAGTGGCAATGATTGGGGTTTTGCGCCTCCCTGCCTTCAACGAAACCATAACATTCAATGTTCTAATAGAAATATTCAGGCTTAGATTGAAGTGGAAGGATAAGTATTCACCGTTGTTCAATCTTCTTCTCGGGATGTGGCAGGCATTCTACTTCCATTCAGAATTCTTGAGGCTCATCAACTGCATTGTGGCCTATACAGTGGCTTGCCAGCTGCTGTTCAGTCGATGCTCTTTGTCCTCCCAAACAGTCTGTGATAGCACGTATTCGGAGGTAGTGCATGTAAATTGGCGCCGTCTGGGAGACTGTAGAAAGCTGGCCGTTTTGTCCCGGAGAGGGAGCAATCCAGAAAGTCTAAACGCGCTCTGCGGCTGTGGTAAGCGTGTCATTTTGCCGCTAGATCATCTCCGCTTTGCTGACGATATCACCCTGACGACAACAAACATCGAGAAAGCAGAGCAAATGCGGCTGATTCCCGCCTGCGCGTGTGGAGAAATCGGTTTACAGCTGAATCTAGCGAAGACTGTTTATGGGAACGGGCTGGTTTCTGATGCCTCATTCCCCGGCCAACTAAGAACAACTCTAAGCGCTCTATTCATGTGTACCTAAATTAGAAGCAAAAGAAAAACAAACATGGGAAAGGAATACACTCCACAACACAGATGATCCGTTTCGCTCGGTATCGCAGACGAATCATCATTGTCTAGCCAACCCCCGAGCATCATCAGTGCGATAGGTTGAAGACAAGAGGACATAGACTACATAGGGGAAGGTGTGAGAAATAAACAAAAAAGAGAGAGATTGTAAAAAAAGGGGGTAACATGCAAAGTTCATGCATCAAGATGATGATGAATTATACTATAACACGAAGTGTGCTGTAAATACTTGTGGAAGGAAGGGAAAAGGAGTAAACCGGCAAAACCACTGAGAGAATGTTGAGTATAAGAGAAGGTTAGAGAACGTATACCAGAAATAAATCAATTAAAGAACAGTGGAAAGAAGGGAATTAGTGTTGATCACTGCTGCAAATGAGTAAACCTGTGACTAGTCTATTTATCTTTCTATAGTTATTTGCGATTGAGTACTTGTAACTTATAAATTTATTTTTATAAATACACTTAACAATGCTAGTAATAATAAAATCTTCCTCGTAGCCATTTTTCAAAAGAGTGGTGATCATATCCGTTATTTTGCTAACGAAAGCGTTGAAGAACGAACAAGTGTTCGCTAACCTCAAAGTTTCCGTATATATAACAGAGGATTTGTTGATAAGAGAGATATTTGTGTCCCTATACGGGAATCTGATAACACTGAAGGTAAAATCATCCGTTTTGTTATACAGCTTGGTACTAATTTTACCGTTAATGATATTAATTGTTAAATCTAAATAATTACTAGAAACCTCACTATTATGAGTTTTTTTCAACTGAAGGTTATTTTGATAAACTTGAGAAAGTAGTTCATCCACATCATCATCAGTTTGGTTGTGAACAACGAGCAAATCATCCATATATCTATATGGGATGAACAGCTTAGTTTTATTAAACTTTTTAGATTTAGCATAGTCATATTCCATGACAGAAAGCGTAAGATCTGCTAGTAGTGGACTGAAATTGCCACCTTGTGGGACACCTTTAGTCTGTTTGAACGTATTATTAGCAAAAAGACAAAAGCTGTTACGTAAAAGATAGTCAATAAAGTATACTAAATCGCTGGATTTGTAATATCTGTAGTTGTTCTTGATTTCTTTACCATCTGTATAGAAAACATGGTAACCATTAGTGGCAATAAAGGATCTGTTGGCATTTTTGAAGCAAATGTTAAGGAGTTCCTGCATTTTCTTAAGAATAAGATCATGCTCTAAATTTGTGAACATGTCAGTGAAATCTGCTGTGTAAATTTTGAGATTGTCGAACGTGATGCTGTGTAGTTCGTGACTTATATTAATATTACTTATAGACCAGTATGTCTTGATAGTCCTGTTGCGATTCCGAATTGCTTTAGCGTAGTTTATGAAGTGATTTTTAAGATGTGTAAAGATTATGCGTAATTCCTGAGCCAGTGGTTTAATACTACTGCTATGTGCACCTGTGATGTACCTGAATTTAACTGGGTTCTTATGTAGCTTTGGTAAGGCATATATAGTAGGTATTTCTGCATCAATGGATATATTGATATTATTCTTAACACAAAGGAACTTGTGTTTCAATATTAAAGAATACTTGTTCGTATGAGGCATCAACTCATATGTGTTATTACTATTTCCATAGACAAATGTGTGGTTGGCAGCATCATAAGAAATGCCCATTTCATGCATAATGTTCAGAAGGTAGAACTTCTTACAGATGATGCCATAGTTATTATTTGCTTTGTCGAGTGGGCAGAACACGTATTTTTCCTGATATTGTTTGATTAAGTTGTAAGGTATGTGTTCTCCTATACCTTCAATATTAGCCTTTGTCAGTAAAGGTTTTACTTTGTCATGGTAACATGAACGAAAATGTTTATATAATAGATTAATCTTGTGATTGCTAGCCTTGTATTTATATTTAAAATAATTTATTATCTTGTTGAGTGTATCTTCAAACACCATTCTAACTTCTTGTCTTGTTATGCCTGTGTCAGATCTATATTTGGTCCCTTTACTCAGTAGTCTTCTGAAACCATCTTCTTGTATGAGATTTACATTTCCTGTGATAACGTGTTCATGATTTTTATCCACATATTCTTGTACTGTATTTGTAGTACATATACAATCGTTGTTGAGTATTTGCTTCAATTTTTCGTTGTCGAGATCTTTCAACACTTTGTTGTAATTGCAAATTTTGCTAGCCATTGTGTTGCTGTACTTATAAACGATTCTAATTGGGGTGAAATCACTGCTCCTTCCATTATCGTTGAGTAGTATATCATCTAACAGTACGTGAATTGAAGATTCTGTTGAAGGGTATTTCATTAAACACCCTGCTTTTGAAACTGACCTCTACATTATGATAGTTCTTTTTGGTGATTTCTTTTGTGGTAGTGTCAAAATGAAAATGAGCTAGCAGACAAAATATTAAGTACCTAGTCTTATTATTAACTCTTTGTAGAAAGTCTGCAGACATGGAGAGTTCAATTAGTTTCTTAATTTCTTCTTTACGCAGGCTTTTGAGCATTCTGAAGTAATGAATAGGTTTGAGTGTTTCACTATTACTTGTTATCGTTGCTATAATATTATCGTATGTGCTTACTTTAATTTTTTTACTGCTTCTTTTTCCTCTATTTATCCTTTGTTTTGTAATTTTAAGAGAGAAGAAGGGATGATTGCCCTTGTACATGAGAGGATTATCTATATTTGTAATGTTTCCATATCCCTTTATGTTATCGTTCAACCCAAAGGGATATGCTGTCATTAGAAGTTTGATCCAAAAAAGTTCCTTTTCTATTAATGTGGTTTTATCATTAGACTTAGCTGTAAATCCGATTTCTCCACACGCGAGTACGATGCTGCGGAATCAGCCGCATTTGCTCTGCTTTCTCGATGTTTGTTGTCGTCAGGGTGATATCGTCAGCAAAGCGGAGATGATCTAGCGGCAAATGACACGCTTACCACAGCCGCAGAGCGGTTAGATCTTGGATTGCCTCCCTCTCAGGACAAACGCAGACTTTCTAGTCTCCCAGACGGGCCAATTTACGCATCGCACGTACCGTTCCGAATACTGTACCAGATTAGTTTGGGAGGACAAGACCATCGACCGAACAGCAGCTGGCAAGTCACTGTATAGGCCACATTGCAGTTGATGAGCCTCAAGAATTCTGAATGGAAGTAGAATGCCTGCCACATCCCGAGAAGAAGATTGAACAACGTGAATACCTATCCTTCCACTTCAAT